CTTTCGTTCATGATTAAAATATTATCCTGAAAATGATGTTGCATTCTATATTATTTGCTTTCTTTTTAACAAACTAGATGGTCATCCATCACACAAGATTTTCATTATGAATGAGTTTTTAAATTGGAAGAAAGTAAATGGAAAAAGTTGTTATTTTAAGATGCATATAGGTTCAGAACCTAATTCACCTTATAAAATTACTGAGCAAGAATTGAAGGATTTTCTTAACCAGGCTAGAAAATATAGAACTATACATATTTGATGTTATCATTTATATTTTTTTGAAATAAACATGTAATAAAAGTAAAATTATATATATAAATTAAAGGTGTTAAAAAGATTTGGCATATGTTGAGCTGTTATGAACCCTTCCCAATGCCCCAGCTTCAGCTTCAGGGTTCGGCAATTTGCGCCTAATTCTTTGATGAACCGGAGCCATAGCACAGCCAAACCAAAGGGCTAGCCTATCCGATATATTAACAAGGTTTGGCATAATCTCAAACTTGTAGACTATGGATTGGTGGCAGCTTCCAGGAGACACGGTTTCTTTTACTATTGAAATCGTTGAATAGATTCACGACATTAGCATTTAATGAAACAAGGAAAGGTACGCACCAACAGAGGATACGGTTTCTTCTCATATTCATACATTAATGAATAAAGGTACATATACTTATCAATGTTTATTTATTTAATAAAAAAGAGTATTTTGGTGCAAATTCTGGGTAAAAAATGGCATAGAATAGCGTTGACAGATCAAACGGGGGGATCTCATTCCCTTAGCAATGTCGTCTGGTTCTAATTCATCCTGCGTGTCTTCCCCTTTATCCCACTCTCTTGTTTTCCTCCTCAAGAGACCAAAAAGCCCAACAACACAACAAGTAATAGAAGACATTAATCACGCTTAGAATTGTAAGAACTCAATAATAATAGTCATAATGACCCTTATTAAGGCTGTTTGACACCCAACTCACTTTCCCATGTTTTTTGGTCTCACTGTTTATTATACTAACTATTAGGCTCCCAATCAAGTTCCCCACCGCCATGCCAAGTCCAAAAAGTGCTACACCAATGCTAGCCATGCTCTTAGGGAACTGGGCATAGTAGAACTCTATTTGCCCTATTGCATTCAGACCCTCGGCTAGTCCAATCAGGCTGTATTGTGGCACTAACCACATGGGACTCATGTGCACCTTCGTCTAGGGACTATTGGCCAGTCCTTGTCTTATTGCGGTGGTTCGTCGTTTGTGCTCCACCATTGCCGCCGCCGCTGTTGCCACGCAAGATACCACTAGGCCAATCCCCATTCTTTCTTTGAGGCTGAATCCTCGAGATCGTTTCGTGAACTTGGATAGCAAGGGAACTATGATTTGATCATAGGCGGCTAACCAAATCGTCAACGAGATCATTGCGAACAAGCCAAAGGAACCTGCAGGGATTTCGAACCCTCCAGGAACCAAGTGTCTGTCCATGGATGTCGCCTGGAGCACCGGGAATGTGTGTTGCTTAGGGTTACAGCGATTATGATCCTACTAGACCAAATTGGGAGCACTTTGATCAATGCTTTAAACTCTTCTACTTGTTTAACGGTGCATAGATTCAATGGATTCACGGCCCTGCCATCCATGCCTATGTCCTCGGAGCTTCTTATCATACAAGCTTGGTTAAGAAACCTGACAATAAATGCCACAATCAACTATCTGTCACAGTATTCATAATATATGTATGATTATGTGCTACCTCAGTTTTTCTGTGGGTGCAATAAGCTTGGAGCCTTTGTGAAAGTACTATATGGCTCCACAAGATTCAATTGGGGGCAAAGCCAAGTCGCTATTGTTCCAAGCTGCCTCCATGACTTGGGCAAAGCTTATAAACAAGCTCTTATTCGGCTTCAATTTGATGTAAAGTGGTGAACCCACTAAGAACATGACTGTGGAGAGGAACATGAGCCCCGCCGGAACTCTGAAGCCTATGATCCACCCTGCCTTATCTTGAATATAGACAATAATAGTTATTGCTATCATGATTGCGAGTCCGACTGAAGCATAATACCAGTTGAAGAAGCTTTGCAAGACCCTATTGTTATTGGGGTCGCTAGGGTTGTAGAACTGATCTGCACCAAAGGCCAGGGAACATGGCCTGATGCCACCGGCTCCAATCGACATGAGAGCAAAAAATGAGAACAGAAGCGCCAACTGTGCTGCTTTCGGCGAGGCACAAGGTTCTATCAACGATTGGGGCAATGCGGAGGCCTTGCTTGCGGAAGGACTGCAGTTAACCATAACATGCTAATTCCCTGCCACAATAAACAATACATTAATGTCTGTTTTTCCTCAAGGATTATAACCATCGAAGACAACATTTCACTTACAATAAGACTGATGACCGTCCCCATCGCAATGACATGAAAGCGGGCAAGGAAAGAATGGGAGATAAAGGCCCCTAGGATCGGCATGAAATTGGAAATTGCGGACCAGAGGAAGAGAACGTTGGTTCCTGTGGCGTTGGGCATGTGATATTCTCTTTTCAAGTACAAAATCATATTTGGTAGAAGACCAAAGCTTGCAACTTTCTCAAAAGTCTCGTTTGCTGCACAAACAGAACACTTCAATTACTATAATGTTGTGTGTTGGGGGGGGGGGCAAAAAGCAATACCTTCATGAGAAGAAACAAATCATTTCAACACTTGCATATAACAAAAGGCATGGTCCTAAGGCCACCCAGTTTCTTGGTGCCATGCTTCTCTTCATCGCCATTTTTCATCTGATAAGAAGGGTGGTTCTCCATCAATCTTCTTCCTTGCCGCTGCAGCTATGAATTTGGTGAGATGCAGATCCGATGCAGAAAACTAGTGTCTCGTAGGCATCAAATATAATGTCTTGGCTTACCTCATTTTGTCTTATTCTATTCGTTATCAAGCGGCTATGCCGTCTCTAGTTATGTATAAACTTTGTTGAAATTCTATCGTGTTGTATTTTATGCATTTATAGTATTTCATTCAAACTTTTAGTTTTATCTCAACAATAAATTTTTTTAACTTGTAAATTTGTGCTGGTCATGCAAGCTTGTTATCTATTATGTTAGCTTTTGGTTGGTTGTTTACTATATTAAAGGTTTAAACTTCTAAAAGCATTCTAGATCAGCCCTAAAACTTGAAAGACCAGCAATGCTCTAGCCTCTATGGTAATCTGAGAGTATGAAGAAAGCCCAGAAATAATCTAAACCTAAGTTCATAATAATATATGTTACTAACAGAAGGAAGATAGATCTGTGACCATTTCATTTGCTCTCAATATGGGAGCACGTAGCACATAGAAAACGATTATCAGTCTTTCACATTAGAGCAGGGACGGAACTCCCCCCCAAAAAAAAAAAAAAAACCAAAAAACCAAACATTTTTATTATTAAAAAAATATAAGGGAAAATATGAAATTAGGGCTCCAAATTTTAGTTTATTTTGATTTCCCCACCCCTCATTTTCTATGGTAAATTATACTTCCCCCCTCATTTTCTATTATTAATTACATTTTATCCCCCTTAAGTTAGAATCATGGCTCTGTCCCTGCAAGAGTACATTTTCTTTAAGACAGTGACTCTCTATCTCTTTCCTCCTGTTAAGTAGGCTTAATTTTTACCCGACTTAGTTGCTGAAGTGATCAATGGATCTTTTATATCTTTCATGTGCAAATCTTACTAAGATCATAAAAGTTTATCTTTCATTTACATCTATTGCTTGATTTGCTAAAGCTCCAGGTCATATGCCTTTAATAATTTTTTATATGATTTAATATGTCAACCAACACTTTAAGGTGGTTATTTAAGGAAACTATTGAACTAACTTTTGTCTTCTTTCTTCTTGGTGCAGTTGCTTGACCGATACCGGGGCAGGCGGGTGCCTGTATAACCTTGTATATACCAGAATTTAACTCATGCATGATTTATAAATTAAGATAGGTAATAGATGATTGCTAAATCTTGCTAACTACGATTCCAAATAAGACCCCAACTTTTACAAGTCATAGGATTATCTGAAGATTTTTCCTTTTAACCAAAGCTCCCTTACTTTATCTGGTCTTTCATCTTTCGTGCAAGATTCTTTCATTCATTTCGGGAATTTTCCTTCGTTTCTTTGAATTGCCGAAACTAGCATGTTCATTGATCAACATTTAGAGAGAAAATATGAGCAATTCGACAGGAAAGGGTGCATGACAAATTGATCTTGTTGAATAACGTCCGGCATTCTGAGAACAAATTTATACCATCAAAGCTTCATCATTTATATCGTCTCCTCGATAAATCAAAAACATATTAACTCATGGACGAAGAGTGATAATGTTTTTATCAACAGGGATTTTTTTTTTTAATTTGCGGTAATAAATTTGCATATTAAATCGTGGCAGAATAGTGCTTTATTGGATAATAATGTTTAATCACAAAAGGGCAGTTTTTTCCCTCCTATTTTTCCTGTTTGTGAGGATCAATTCTGATTATATAAAACAGCAAACATGATAACAGATATGAATGAAAAATGGCACCGACTGCATATCCGAAAGAGCCAAGGGTTGAAATGGTGTAAAATTTGCGGTAAAATTATTAACAGTAAAGAATACAGAAGCATTTTATCAGACAAGGAAAATTGAAGAATCAAAATTAACGGCTATTTTTTCTTCAACTACCAAACAGAATTAATATTGTATTTACCCCAATTATTTATCGACGTAGTCATAATCATAATTACGTTTTGCAATTTATTTTTATTTCTCCTTACAAAATTGAGGTAAAAAGCCTCTTACATGTAATCCCAATTACAATAATAAAGCTACAGCTTACAAGCAAAGCTCATATCAATGCTATGATGTGGCGAACAATGGAAGTGGCTCATCATCCATAATGGCCATCCACAGATGTATAAATTTACTCAGGGATCTGCTAATGCTCTATACAACGGTGGACCACAGCTCTATCAAATCACTTTCTGAAAAAAAGGGAAGAGAAAGATGAAAAGAAGAAAAAAACAACTCTCTCTAGTAGAAGCAAACCCCAATTATCAAAGTAAATCCAGGAGATGTGGCTGTTCAGATGTTGATTTGGCATGGGCCCTCCCCATCCCTCTTCCTCTACCCACCGTAGTCGAGGGTGGCGGTGCAAGTTTTGGAGCAGCCTGCTCGTTTTTGCTACTACTAAATATAGACCCCAGATCTAACGATTTTTTATTATTGTACGAAGAGTTCATCGAAGCTGAATTCCCCTGATTCTGTTTCATGAACCCAATAGAGTTCTGCAGACCCCCACTGTCCAAAACGTTTGCATTGGAACTTGATCCTCCAAGATTAGGTCTTAGCAGCTCCCCAGAGTTTTGGTTGCTGAAGGCCCGACTGTTGCTTTTGTTTAATTGCATACTTGTAAAAGAACTGGATCCATAATTGGTTGTGGCTGGTCCTCCCATGGTGCCATCCTTCAATCTCCCCAAACCATTTGAGGCACTAGGCCGAGGAGGCCAGTATGCGAAAGGATCTAAATCATCAAAACTTGATGCCAATGATGTTCCATTATTTAATTGCATCTCACCATTGCCTGACTCTGCAATAATACCTGAAGTTGCACGAGAAGGCCACTCGATGTCAACTGCAGGGCAAGAAACAGGAAATTGCTGGCTGGATACAGTAGATATCATAGAAGGCTCTGATTGTTTGGATGTTGATTGAATTGATTTATCACTCGAGATGGAATCTGTGGTTGAGTTGTTTTTTGAAGGCTGCTGAGCAGTGGCCCTGGCACTGGTAGCTCCTCTGGCTGTAGGACCCCAGTCTTCATGCCAAGCTGGGGTGGGTTTTGCTGAAGCCACAGTTCCACTTGTTTTGCTCAAGGCTTCCGACTGAAGCCCATTGGCAGTAGTAGAATGTTTTACCTCTGGGATTCCCAAATCATTTAAAGTAACCCCTCGTTTGTCTTCTATCTTTATGAGTTAAAACAAAATCAGAATTATAACATCTTCATTCAAAATGGTAAAAAGATGGTACTACTAACTAATACTTCTTGCAATGGAGATAATGGTCGATTTTTTTCTGTGCAGAAATAGGATCCGAGTGAATTCAACAATCACAACAATAACAATAATACCTGAGAATATCCTTAACAAACTGCATATATTTGGCAAACTGCTGAATATTCAACTGTTGTGCAGTGAGAAGAGGAGTGACTAGAGGGAGGACATGCTCTGCAGTGAATTCAACTCCATACTGCACAAGATGAATGGAAAAGGCAGATACTGAGCTGTAAGGCACCAGGACTTCCCGAAATACAAATGAAAAACAACTTGTGCAACAAAAAATAGAGTTCATCATTTACCTGCTTGAGAATTGCATTTGAAACTGCTAGGGTACACATAAGCGTGGAAGCTGAACGATCAACAGCTGTACAATCCTGGATGGTTTGTAGTACATCCAGCACAGCATGTTTATTAAGTATGTGAACAAAATCCGCTAAGCATAGCAAAGCATTGACTCTGACCTGCTCAAAGAAGCCAAGAGATTCATGAGAGATTACTAGAAACGAAGTAGCTATGTTCCTTTAAAAGGCATTTTTAAAACTGCTTTAGAATCTAAAAGGAAAAGGAATTAGAAAAATCCCCCAACTCCACACACTTTGAGAAACAGATGTATCTGCTTCATTCAATTATAATGAGCATTTTGATTACTATTGAATCACAGTAAATAAGTTAGAATTTAGATGTCTTCCTAAATGCAACAATGAAGACACATTTCAATAAGCATGCTCTTCTTTTTTCCAATATGCTTATGACCTAAATTCATATTCTTCGAGAGGCACGAGTCTCTTTCAGGGAAAGTAGCAGGGATAATGCATAAAGTTAACCTAAAGAAGCTCTAAAATACACATTTGAAGCAGACCAAATAATCACAGATAGCCTAATTTTTTAATATCTTAATGAGAAAGTGAAGTGCAACCTTCCAAGTTTGGGAAGAACGTCTATCCTAGCCATAAAGGAAATGGAACTTAATCTCATAGAGGACTTGTTTGCTTCGTTTATTTTATTACCCTCTTTATTTGGATTAGTTGGGCTTTTTTCTCTTAAAACCAGGTATGCAGCTTATACAAGTTGAGCTTTTTTCTCTTAAATCCAGGTATGTTTGGAAGTCAGATTTGGATAACAGATCAACATTCTGGAGAATTTGTCGTACATCACATGGAAGTGTTTATTCATATAATTACATCAAATAAATTATGATTATATAATTTAATATAAAGATAACTACCAAAAACATGCATACATACCGCAGCAGCTGTTGTTTTAAGAGCTAAGCCATGAACACGAGGCAGAATGGCATCTTTCACAAGCTGAACAACATAAAGAATATTATTACTATAAAATGGAAATGGAACCCTACAATGGATGATGGAGGAATAAAGTTATTTGCCCACTAGATCAGTGTCCATGCTTTTTAAACAAAGAGAATCGTCAAAAGTAAACATAAGACCCAGCACTATAAGAGTACGAACAAAAGTTCCCTACAAAAATGGTCGGACGCCCTATGAATGGTTTTTTTTTTAATTTTCTCTATTTTTGTGACACAAGTGCCAACAATATTTCTATTTTTTTACTCGAGAAGATAAGAGGGGCCTGGAAGAATAAATAGCTTCTATTAAACATAAAAACCACAAAAAATGGCTAGATAGTGCAAGTTGGTCAAGCATTCGAGCAATTGATATAAAGGGGGGCACAACTATTCAAAGAAAATGATTCATTTTTTCAACTTCACAATTGATTCATTTCAAATCCATATAAAATGCAACTAATGAAAAAAGGGTGTGATCCTTCTACGACAATAATTACTTTAGCTTCTTTAAAAACTAAGGCAAAGGTGAGATCTGAGTGTGAGGTCCGCATATTCCTCTTAGTATCTAGAGTAAGGATAATTTAAATCATCCAACAATCAACAGGTACTAATGATTGTAATGTTGCCCCATTTTCTAATATCCAATAGCAAGCATCAGTAACATCCAAGTAAAAAAAAATCCAGCAATATTCCTCTTCTACCAGATTGATGATAATTATTATTGCATGCAACAAAAGCATGATAAAGTAGACTTCTGAAAATAATAATCCATTTTAAGAAAACAAAGCATGACAATCACCTGTGTATCAAGTTGTTTGGCTAGGAGTAGAGATTTTCTCAAAGCTTCTTCTTGTATACGAGGATCACAGTCATCATAAGCTCGAACAAGCATGGGCAATACATGGGACGATCGTTGCTCTGGAGTTGTCTACAGTAATTAGAGATTAAATGATTGGGTATGACCCATGATGAAAACAAGCCTCAAAATATGGTGGGAAATATGACAATGCCATTTCACAAGGGATGTTTTTCAGCAAATACTATATGGTGCAACCCAGGAAAAGTATAATAGACATTTATATATGTAGTTTCTCAATTTGTTATCCTATCATGTTCTGTGTTAAAATTAGAGTAATTCTATTTATTTCTGCTGTAGAAGGGTTACAATTATATATACAAGTTGTTATCTTAACTTTAGGAAGGGAAGATATAATCCCTTAAAGTTAGGGATTATAACTACTAAAAGATATTCACATAATCCTATCTAACTGCACATAATCTTTCTAATTTAGGAATCTATTTTCTGACACTTCCCCTCAAGCTGGGGAATGGATATCCTCCATCCTCAGCTTGCTTGCTAGCTTCCCAGGTAGCCCTTCGTAAGTATATCTGCAACTTGAGCTCCAGTGGACGCATAGGAAGTACAAATTAGGCCATTGTCAAGTTTCTCCTTTATGAAATGTCTATTCACTTCAACATGTTTTGTTATGTCATGTTGAACTAGATTATGAACAATGTTGATTGCTGATTTATTATCACAGTACAACTTCATTGGACCGTTCCATTTGATTTTCAAATCTTCCAAAATAATCTTTAGCCACAATAATTCACAAACCCCAAGTGGCATCGCCCGAAACTCAACTTCTGCACTGGATTTGGCCATACCATTATGCTTTTTGCTCCTCCAAGTCACTACGTTTCCACCCAAAAAGGTACAGTACCACAAGGTTGATCTCTATCAACTATGGACCCTGCATAGTCTGCATCTGTATATGCTTCCAAAGTCAAACTTCCTCCTTTTTTAAACAAAATTCCTCTGTTTTGTGTGCCCTTCAAATATTGTAAAATTTGAGTCACTACCCTTAGGTGTGATTCTTTAGGATTGTGCATGAATTGACTCACAACTCCAACTGCATAGGCAATGTCTGGTCTGGTATGTGACAAGTAAATAAGTCTTCTCACAAGCCTTTGATACGAGCCTATGTCAACTGTTACATCTTCTGTTGAATCTCCACGCTTGTGATTAACTTCTATTGGTGTTTCTGCGGGTATGCACCCCAGTTTTCCAGTTTCTATCAACAAGTCTATAGTGTATTTTTGTTGAGATATGAAAATTCCTTGCTGTGAATGTGTCACTTCAATACCAAGGAAGTATTTAGTCATCCAAGTTCTTCGACTTCAAACTCCTTCACCAAACACTTCTTTAGATCATTAATTCCTTTCAAATCACCCCCTATAACTATGATATCATCTACATAGATCAATAAAGCAGTTACTTCCCTTGAAGACGGATGTTTCACAAACAAGGTATGATCACCTTGACTTTGTCTATAGCCCAGCTTTAGCATCACTTTGGTAAATCTCCCAAACCAGACTCTTGGGGACAGCTTTAGCCCATATAGAGCCTTTTTTTAACTTGCACACTGTCTGCCCAGTACTTGAACCAAATCTTGGTGGGATGTCCATGTACACTTCCTCCTCAAGATCCCCATGCAAGAAGACATTCTTAATGTCAAACTGTTGTAATTTCCACCCTTGATTGATAGATAATGACAATAGGATTCTCACAGTGTTCATCTTTGCAACAGGAGCAAATGTCTCAAGGTAGTCTATACAATAAGTTTGAGAGTACCCTTGGCCACCAACCTTGCTTTGTACCTCTCTAAAGAACCATCTGACCGGTAATTTATTGTAAACACCCATCTGCACCCCACTGTTTTCTCCCCTTTTGGCAGTTCTACCATGTTGCATGCCATGTTCTTCTCAATTGCTTCCATCTCAACATGCGTGGCATTCTTCCAATACTCATTTTCTAATGCCTCGAATATAGTTTTAGGAATGGCAATAGTGTTTAGGCTAGTAAGGAAGGCCTTGTGGTTGTTAGACAAGTTCCTGTAGGACATAAATAAATAAAGAGGATGTTTTGTGGTGCAAGATCTTTTTCCTTTTCTATTTGCAATAGGACAGTCAAAATCCCTGTGATCAGAAATAGGATCAGAATTCTCTATGGCATTTTAATCAGAAATAGGTTCAATAGTTACCTCGAGTTTTATAGGAAAGGAAGAGGATGATTGAACCTACATTGGTCCCTTCCTCCATGAATAGACCAGCAGAGGATGAGTAATGTCTTGAGTCTTTGGCTGAGGTATATTAGAATCAGATTATAAGAAGGTAGATTGGTCTGAATGAGGCTGTTGATGTTGAATAGTCTGGTAGATAGGAGTTTTTTTTTATAAGAAAGGGAGGTCTAATTAAAAAAAAACCTTCTTAACCTTCGAAATACCGGGAGGTGTCTCAACGGACATTGGCTAGTAGACATGAGTTAATTGTTGGGTTGGTGTAAGAAGGTCAAGAAGTGACTGAAGTAGGAAACAATCTCTGTTATCTTCCTTGTAGGTGGATGATAGCACTTGTACCCTTTTGAGTAGAAGAGTAACCAACAAAGATACATTTAGATGAACCTAATCCCAATAATGATAATACCATTGTCACTGAAAATCCTGATTTAAATGATTTTCCCATTGCTATTAGAAAAGGAACCAGAGCTTGCACAAAACACCCTTTATATTTATACATGTCATACAAAAACTTATCCTCCAACCATAAAGCCTCTCTTGCTAGTTTAAACTCTATTTCCATTCCAAAAATTATATCCGAAGCTTTTTTTTTATAGGAATAGTAGGCCTCATTAAAAACCCCCTTCATGATTAACGGAACTTGAAAATAGTTCCTTAATCAGCGGAAGGAGGAAAAGAGTGCCATAGGATTTCATTAACCTCAAATAATTACAAAGTAATACAAAGTAATACAAAGTAATACAAAGTCTAATCTCCATCAAGAGATAAAAAACCAAAAAGAAACAGCCCTTAACAAAACATAATTATCAACCAATACCAGCCTTAGCTAGGACATCCGCCTCTATATTGGTTGTCCTACTAACCCATCTAATAAGACCTTCATAAACACTTAGCTTTTGAATAATGTCCTTAACAACTTGAACATAAACGACATGACATGAAACAACATCCTTGACCCAACCAATTTCCACCTTACTATCACTCTCGATAATAAATCTATCTTTAAACCTATGGCGAATAGATTCATAATAATCTAAACCCTTTAGGATAGCTTTCAATTCCATCAAAGTTGGAGGTCCCGGACCAGCAGGCTCTTTGAAAGAGCCAAGAATCGAACCAGAAATGTCTTTCAGAACATCACCTAAACCACTCCTCTTCCAATCACTAGAAGTAGCCGCATTCACATTAAGTTTAATAAAACCCTTTGGACGAGGGGACCAAGAAAACTTAGTTGAAATCCGATTAGAATGAGACGAGCAAGAATCCACTAAGGATGGGTCGGAAATAAGAGCATCCTTGGAAATAGAAATATGAGTTTCCCTAGCTAGAAACCATGAAGCAAGCCTGCACCTTGCTAGAAAGAATATTTCTGCTCGATCAAGCTTCCCTCCTTCGAACACTGTATAATTCCTAGTTTTCCATATTGTCCATAATACCACTCCAGGGATAAATGACCACATAAGAGAGTTAGTCTTCAAGTCATTCCATGCTACTAGGAATCTTTTAGCGTCTTCATGAAAAACAGATTGAAAATTCCAATAACCCATGAATTTAGTCCATATTGGCCAAACAACTGAATAGGAAAAAAATAGATGAGATGAAGACTCTTCTTCTAAATTACAAAAAGGACACAAAGTATCATTTATGCTCTGAACACCTCTCTTAACCAGAGCTGTCTTCATTGCCAGCTTCTTTAAGATAACTTGCCAAAGAAAAGTCTCCACTCATGGAGGCAGCAGGCCCCTCCAAACAATAGACTTCCAAAATTTAGCTTCCTCCGAATCGAAAGTACCTGAATAAGATAGATTGGCACATGATTTAACAGTGAAAACCCCTTCTCCAGTCCCCTTCTAAAACAGTCCATCAACAGCATCAGTAGAAATAGAAAAATCTGAAATAACAACCATCAAGTTTGACCATTATTCAAATTCCCAGTCATTCAACTCCCTTCTCAACTGAACGTTCCAAAACCAGCCCCCAGAGCTGTATTCCCCAAACTGAAATAATCTTCCAGTTTTGTTCACTGCAATAGAGAATAGTCTAGGGAACATGACCATCAAAGGATGATCCAATGCCCAAGTGTCTTGCCAAAACCGAATATTCGTCCCATTGCCAATTTTATAGCTATAATTGCTTTTGATACTACAGCCCATCGAATCAACTTTTAAATGATTACTCACCATAGATCTTTATATCCAAGAAAATTTAGGAGAAACCTTACTGTCAAACTGCATCAATCCATTTTATATTTAATGCAAAGCATTTCCCTCCAAATCGCCTTCCTCTCAATAGTAAACCTCCAAGCCCACTTTTCCAATAGATCCCTATTCATCGTATTTAAATTAGAAACTCCCAAGCCTCCTTCAATTTTTGGTTTACAAACGTCGGTCCAGCCCGCTTACCTCTTGTATACTGAAGCTGGAACCTAAACAATGACAAATAGTATATAGGAAGTGAACATAGGACTGGTTTAATCAGAACCAGCCTGCCTGCCAGTGACAAAGAGGAGCCTTTCCAGCCCGCTTACCTCTTATTGAAGCTTTGAACCACTGGATCCCACAGAATGTTGGAGTTTCTGTGTGGACCAAGAGGGAGTCCCAAATATTCTGAGGGAAAAGAACCTAATGGACATCCAATCGTAGCTGCCCAATCCTTAATTTCCTCTTCCTTTAAGTTTACCCCAAACAATTTACACTTCTTCAAGTTCAACTGAAGTCCAGATATAATCTCAAACACTCGAAGCACCCTCTTCACATTCAAGATCTGTTTTTTCGACGCACCACAGAAAATTATAAGGTCGTCAGCGAATTGAAGATGTGTTAAATTAAAATTCATCTCCTCATTTTTAATGACCAAACCTGA